TTTTCACACTCTTTCAAAACCAAAACACTCTTGGGCGATTTTTCAAAGACAACTTCTCTTCCAAATTGATTATAAGTCGTTTCTAACTAGTTTTCTTCAATCTTTAACATCTTTTCACATGATTTCAACTCAAAATCAATAATTTTCATGGGAAAAGTTGGGTGTTTTGGGTAGAACCTAGGTTTTTTAAGTTTTGGGGATTTGGACCTCGATTTGAGGTCCGATTTCAAAACAAATTATATATTTGGGTTCGTAAGAGAATGAGTAATCGGGTTTTGGTTCAAACCTCGGGTTTTGATCATGTGGGCCCGGGGACGATTTTTGACTTTTTGGGAAAAACTTTAAAAAACTTATTTTCATGCATTAGAATTGATTCATTTAGCATTTATTGATGTAATTAAGTAACTTGTGGCTAGATACGAGCGAATTGGTGGTGGAATCAAGAGGTAAAGCGATAGTCGAGACTTGAATTGTGTTCGTGGCATCGAGGTAAGTGTTTGGTCTAACCTTATCTTGAGGGTTTAGGAGTTGTGTCCTATTTGCTATGTGTTATTTGTTGAGTACGACGTATAGGCTTGGTGACGAGTATCTATACGTTGGTGTCAAGCATGCCCGTGAGTCTTAAATTGAAATTGTTGTGTTCTTAATAAGTACTACGAATGCCTAAGTTGTTGATTTTCTGTGTTGGGCAAGAATTATGATTATTCCCGTGTAAGTGCTTATGGTTGAGTATTGGTGCTAGATGAGGTTTCTCTTGTGAAGTTAAATGTTGGAACAAGTTTGGTTATAGCTGACTCCCTTGCCGGGGCGTATTTACTTATATTGTCGATTCCCTTGCCGGGATAGTGTTGTTTCCTTATTGTTCCCTTGCCGGGACTCTTTTCTTGTGATTGGTGTTGAATTATATATTGGGATCGGGTTGCACGCCGCAACAATATTATATGTGGATCGAGTTGCACGCCGCAATAATATTATATATGGATAGGGTTGCATGCCGCAACAATATTATATGTGGATCGGGTTGCACGC